CCGTTTAGCTGAGACTAATCAGGCTCTGCAGTACAGTAACATGATGGGTATGAGATCACGTCTTTTCCTTCTGCATGTTGAGCTCTTGGTTTGAAAAGCTCTGTCCTGTGTGGGGGCACGTGACAGTATTCTGTGATAGGACAAATGTATACCTGTCACTATGAACCATAATAATGGCTCTAACGGGAAGGTCAGGTGTCTTGTCAGTGATGGACTGTAGGGAATTTTTTAATGAGTCCAGCCAATAAATATGGCAATCTGGGATGGGGCCTACAGTAGCCAGAACAATTGTCCGAGTGGCGCAACCAGTAAAAGGGGAGAACATTGGTGTTCCTTTTGTGGGTTTTGTTTTTTTTACATTTTCTAAACTAATGTATAGAAAATTAAACTTGGCCTGGGACATGCAGAACCTGGTGCTTGCTTTGGTAATTACTTTTCATATTTTGTTTAGTTATATGGAAAGTAGCTTTAGCTTTTTCTCTCTTCAGTATTCCCATTAGAAAGATTTCCTGTTCTGACAGGAAGTGAGGGGAAATTTCCACAATGGGGACACAGATGGCAATAAAAAAAACCTGATAGAGGCTCTAACCCTTCCCCACTTGATCCAAAACAAAGTAAAATGTTTTGAATGCAGTAGGTCTTAACCATTAAACGTATGGGGCAAGTTAGTGTGTCTTACTAAGTCTCGTACTATAGTTCTTTAAAGGATTGTAACATGTTCTGTTATTACAATTGTCTGCCTTTTCTGTATGGGGCTCCCTGCCATGTTCATACACATGAAAATTCATTGATCTTTAAAATGCAACTTAAGCCAAAACGTAATTTTCAGTTTTGGATAGAGCGTAGAGGAATTAAAAGACCTGTCAGGTTTTTATTGCTCTCCGTGTCTCTATTAGGGAGATTCACGCTCTTTGTCCTGGTGACCGCTATCACTGAAAGTGGTAATAAGAAAATCCCAAGTTTTGAGTTGTCATTAGCACAGGAATAGATGGCAGATCTAGCAATCGGGACACTATTTCTAGTGACCCTGCTGACCACCAAGAATGTGCAGCCTCACTGGAGGGATTTCCTCTCAATACCTGTTGCTGCTATGGGCAGTGGCGTCCCGAGGCGGGGTGTCACCCAGAGCAGGTACCGGGTGACACCCCGCTGTGACGTCATCGTGCACATGTGTGATGACATCACGCGCTACTACCTGCCAGCGGCTATCTTGGTGATGGACGCTGGCAGAGGAGGGGGGCGTTCACCTGGCGGGTCCCCTCCTCTCTCGTGCAACTGTCGGGCTCTCAGTCCATGACCGAGTGCCTGACTTTTCAGAGGGTCATGACTGTCATTTTGGTGTCACCCGGCTGCGGCCGGCACCCGCCCCCCCTTAGTGGCGCCACTGACTTAATGGACAGGAAGTGAAGAGAAATCTCCCTGATGACAAGTAAAAAACAATTGACTGGTTTATAACCCTTCCTTAAAGTGACGCTAAACTCAGAAGTTAAATCTCAAAAATGTATTCAAGTACCTTAACTAAACAAAAATGTATCTTATTTGTGTATCACTCGGCTGTAGATCCTCAAATCATCTCTGAATTGGTGCTGACACTGTCCTTCCTTCTGAAGGGTGGCTACTTTTGTTCCCCATGGTTCCTGTGTGTGTTGTAAAGTAGCCACTGCACCAACCACGCTCCCGTGATGGACTGCAATCTCATGTTTAGTTTACTAAATTGTATTGAGATTGTAGTCCATCACAGGAGTGAGCTTTGAGCTGTGACTACTTTACAACATACACAGGGACCATGGGGAACAAAAGTAGCCACCCTCCAGAAGGAAGGACAGTGTCAGCACCAAGTCAGAGATGATTTGAGGATCTACAGCAGAGTGACATTTTAGTTAATAGCGATGGTACTTTAATGCATTTTTGAGATTAGACTCCTGAGTTTAGTGTCATTTTAAGCTAGCCATACACTGTGCAAATTTTGCCTGGTTCTTGATGAAACAGATGAAATTCACATTGGGTACCCTGGTCGGCACCCTTCTGCCCGGCATCCCTCAGTCAGGAGATTGAAGGAGTCAGTTGGAAGTTCTTTGGTCGGACGGGGCTTGCTGCCAATAAGCTGCATGCACTGTTTGTGTTTTCTGACAGTGGCCGGCGCCGGCCACTGTCGGCCTACCAATTAACTGCATGCACTGTTTGTGTTTTCTGACAGTGGCTGGCGCTGCTGTTAGAATACAAAGCTCACAGTGGGAGATTAATCCATCCACACTCTTTAGCGTGGATGGAGGAATCTGTTATAATTTTTTGTTCAGCACGCAGGTTGAAGCAAAAAATATTAGTGTATACCCAATACTAAGAAAAAACGTTTTGGCTTTTGTTCTTTAAATCTAATGAGTTTATTAGAGTGTAATTAAAGGAAAGGAAAGTAGGGTTCTTAAAGGAGAACTATGGGGTCAGTGTTTTTCCCCATAGTTCTCCTTAGGGTAACGGGAGGACACAAACTAGCGTCCTCCCGTTACCCTAAGCTCAGTATACCGCGAGCTACAGCTCACGGTATACTGAGACGCCGGAGCGGATCCCGACGTAGATGACGGGATCTGCCCAGCTGCGTGAGTGACAGCTGGCTCTGCCTATCTAGAGGCAGAGCCAGCTGTACCCGCCCCCTCCCCCGTCCGTTCCGCCAGTCAGCGCTGGCAGATCGGAGCGGGGAGAGGGGAATCCAGCCCCTCCCCCTGTCACGGCAGAGAGCCGTGACAGGATCGAGAGGTGAGCGAACCTGGTATGTGTTCGCTCACCTCCCGATCTACTGAGCCGACATGTGACAGTCTCATTGTCACAGGTCGACTAGAACTATGAGGTGAGTGGAAATCACTCATCTCATAGTTCTCCTTTAATATATTCTCTTTCTTGCCATGAATTGAATGCTACCCCTGAACTCCCTCATGTCACTAGGCACATTATCATATGGTTTCTGTTTCCTGGAGCTTTGTGACTGTTTCACACTATTAGAGACTGCAGATTTTCTCAATCAGACAAACCATGTCTGGCAGACTTGCAGTGAGGTGACTGGCAAGGCAGAACCAGGAAGTAGAGCCTACATTTGTTAGAAGAAAATATGGCAATCCACTTTCACGTTTATAGTTGCAAGTTATTAATAGTAACAAGGATTTGTAAACACATTATTAACATAAATTCATATCATTTACATGAGGCTGATTTATTCACATTAGAATCAAAGAAAACTTTATAAGGCGACATTTCCTCTGTAAGATCGGTGTCTGCTGAGATATAGGTTAATGCTAGGTGAATTGGGAGATTGTGTAATCATAGTGGTGTGTTTTGTTATTTGCAGCAAGGGCGATCTTTGTTATGATAAACACATTTAGTGAAGATGGAAAAAGCGCTAGAATCTAAAGAAGTCCTGCTTTAATGATCCTCTTCTTCTGCATGTTGTGTTATCTTTATGAATAATACCCATTTTCCTGTGGTGCTCAGAGGATTAGTGTAGCAACAGGTTGCATCACAAGCGCATGAACAAAATGGACACAAATTACATTGTCACTTCATAGGGAAATACTGGATAAACAATGGAAAATAAACATTAACGAGAATAGTAAATGGAGCCATGTGACCAGCCACCATGTCACACCATGTCACATGCAAATAAGGTGCAGCTGATGTACTGAACGCGTCGGAACAAAATCTGTGCAGCATGTTGTCAGTGAACGGTAAAATGGAACCATATTGTCATATTAGTATGTTTTTCATGTTATCAATTTCTTAATTGATTATAAAGTAAATCAAATCACTAAAATATATAATCTTTTAAGAAGGAGAAAAAAATGATTAACCCTTGCGGTGGGGTACCCTCGCACTGCAAGGGATAAGTGCTCATTTGTGTCTAGGTGCTAAAAAAAAAAAGTTATGCTCACCAGACCATCCGAGCCGGCTTCTTCAGGGCCCTGTCACACCATGTTTGGACCAGATCTGCACGCGTTTCTGCAAACGTGGTGCGTTTGTGACGCGTTCCAGTGCATTTTTATTTTTGGGTGGGGGTAATGTCATTATGCAAATTCATTTCTTCCTGCTCCATGTCATAGCTTCTATTGCGTTCTGGTGCAGTGCATTTGTGATGCGTTCCACTGCAGGAAAACTTTGACATGCAGCATTTTTTTTTCTTGCACTGGAACGGACTGGACTGGTGTGAACAGAGCCCCATAAAATCACATATAAATGCATTGGGATGCATTTTTTGGTGCAAAAGAAAAATGTAACGTACCACATCTGATCCGGGACATGGTGTGAATAGGCCCTAAACTGGCCATACACCTATAGATTATCTGCAGATTTTCTATGTTCAGATGGAAAAAGTGCAACAGATTATAACAATCTAATATTGTATATCAAAAATAAAAGTAATCTCATGCACCCTCACTTCCCACAGGTGCATAGGGCACACCCATGTATGAAAACATTGACTGCGCCACACTTTAGCTTTTGCCTCGAACATTAAAGTGACAGCAGTAATTCTAGGGTTTCATTTTTGTTATCTCTAAATGATAAGCAGTAGATGCATTTTAAGCATTGCCTATGAACAATATTGAACCATGCCTTTTCACCATTTCACAAGCACATGCAATTTTAAGACTTCACGTTTGGTATCTAATTACTCGACAAGACCCCATCTTTTATACTGTACCAAAGAAATGAGTATTCTATTCTTTGTGTGCCCTAAATTACATTTTAGTGTATTTCTTTTGTACCAATATCAATTTGATAAATAGTTGCATAAATATTGTGCAGCAGGGCCTCTGCTTTGAGAAAATATATATTTGGGGGTTTAAATTAAATTTATATTTTAAAAAATCAGATTTAAACGTGTGAAAAATGGCTGCGGTTCTGAAGTGGTTAATAATAACTTTGGTATTGAAAAAGATTGCCATCCACCTTTTATAACCAGTTTTACTGCTTATAAAATATCCGTTGTGAATTAAGGGAATCTTTTTATATTCCAGGCCGGAGGCTCAGCAGAAAGCACCATCAGTCCCTCCACCTCCCCCACCACCTCCTCCTATACCTGAACCAGCTCCTCCAGAGCCCGAGGAGGAGATTTTGGGATCAGACGATGAGGAACAAGAAGATCCGGCTGATTACTGTAAAGGTCGGTAACCACAACAGCTATAGTTTTGTAAATTTAATTTTGCTATATTCATTTCTGCAGCACGGCCCTATTTTACATCTGTTTTACACAGATCCATTTACCTAGACAGGAGAAGTAAAGTTTTTGTGCATAGATTGTTCAGCTTTTAGCCTATAACAGTGATGGGAGTCTCATATCCCTTCTGTAAGCAATGCCAATATTCTTTAGATTTTTTTTTTTTTTAAGCCATATCTAAATCATAAGCCTGCTTTGCATACTTTTAGGCCCTGTTCACACTGGGGCGGATTTGGCCACACGGATCCGCCGACATGAACAATCGCATACATTGCTATGAGGACTGTTCGTGCGACCGATCAGCTCAGCGCGATCAGAACCGCTCCCCGCCCAAACTGCCCCCTGACCCTTTTTTGCTGCGCTGATCAGTGTGGGTTCCATACAGCTTTCAATGCAACCGTGCTGGTCCGCAGCCGCGCTGAAATACAATTTTGAAATCAGCGCAGAAACCGCGCTGCTCCGCAGCCGCCCTGGTGTGAATGGGCTCTTAGGCCTGTTTAAATTTCATTTGGAATGTATGATGGTATTTTAAGGGAAAAGATGGTGTTTCTTCCATATACTTAAAGTGTATGTTTAGACTTTTTTTTAGTTTTTGTTAGAGTAAGGAAGGGTTAAAACCCCTGTCAGGTTATTTTTTGCTGCCTCTGTCCTATAGGTGAGAGCCTTTACTTTCTGTCCTGAGGATGAAATAGGATGTTATTGATTTTCTCTCCAAAGTGAGAAGAATTCCTCTCATACACAGTTGCCAGATGAACTGGTGTTCCCAGTAAAAGGTGTACATCTCTTTTTTTTGGCAATGACTGTAAAATGTTGGGAATTTCCATAAATTTCAGTTTTTCTCACAATGATGACCAGGACAAATAGACAGCAATACAAACCTGTCACTGGTTCTAACTCTTTAACTCTCTCCAACACTAAAAAAAATAACCTTGTATTACGTTTAGTAAAAACACTTTTTAAATGGTTATATTTCTGTAATATTTACCTGTCTGCAACCAGCAGGTGCTAGAGTGAGTCTTGTGCTTCAGTGTTTCAGCTGGCTTACTGCTGTGCTGTACAGAGCTGGATAGCAGGGTTAACCACACAAACAGCAAGAATAAAGCTGGCCATACAGCCAGGGGCGTCCCGAGGCCCGGGTGACACCCCAGCTGTGATGTCATCGCGCATGCGCGGTCATCTTATTGACGCCTGCCGGCGGCCATATTGGTGATGGACGCCGGGCAGAGAGAGGAGGGGACGTTCACCCGGCGGGATGAGGTATGCCCCTGGGTCCCCTCCTCTCTCCTGACACTGTCGGGCTCTCGGTCAGTGACCCAGTGCCTGACTTCACAGAGGGGGTTAGATGAAAAAAGTGCAACAGATTCATCCATCTATACTAAACTGTGTGAATGGAGGAATCTCCCACTGAGCTAAGCTTCAGTATCTTGCTAGTCGGCCCAGCTGGCTGTCAAAATATCTGAACAATCTGATTGGGTGCAAGCATTGTTCAGGTATTTTGAGAGCCAGTGGGGCCGACTAGCAAGATACTGAAGCTTGGCCCAGTGGGAGATTCCTCCATCCACACAGTTTAGCGTAGATGGGGGAATCTGGCCAGCTTTAGTGAGCATAATGACTCGGAAGGGGCACACCCCCTCTACACCTTCTTTTCTGGTGGAGATAGTCTAAAAGTAAAATCAATAAGTGCATAGCTAGTGCTGGGCTTTCTTATTAGGCCGACTGGCAGATACTCTACACACATCCTGCATTAAATCCTCATTTGTGATAATAAGGATTGTATACATACAAGCAAAATTGTATACATTAGTTTATACATCTATTTAAAGAAATTGTAAATAGCATTTACAAAAAGGCTGTTACCTAAATGCACTTAACTGCTATGTTTAAGTACTTTGCTACCTCAAAAATGTTTTGATCATCCTAAGGAGCACACCGATCACCACCACCAGCATTATGCTGATGCCTTCATTTTCTGCATCAGCTCAGCTGGTGGTAGAGGCGCGGCAATCGCAGAAAAAAAGGTGCATGTACCTTTTCTTTGCGACGGTCATGTTAGATTACGCGG